GGGAGCGCGGGGCGTCTGGGAGGTCACGTGGACGGCGGGACATGGCGGCCCGCACGGGATGACGTGGCGTGAGGGGCGGGGCCGGGTGCCACTTCCCTCGGCCTCCGGGCTCCGTCTCCGCGGGTTCTGCGATTTCGTTCCTTTGGGGAATTTCGAGCAGTTGGCGCGGGTCCGGGAGACCCCCAGCGGCGGCCCCGGTCTCTCCCCTGCCGGTTCCCTCCGAGGAGGGGGAGGGGTGACTCTTAGGTTTGATTTTAGGATTTCCAAATAGAGTAATTAGCCTTTACTCAGAAAAATAAAGTGGGGGCCTTGTACTTCCATAGGCTTTTTGTTTTATATGTATTGTCTGTAAAATGCCACTTTTAAACATTTATAATACTGTTTTTATTTCTCATCTGATTTCACTGATCTAAATTTTAAAATACTTTAAAAAGTGCGTTGAAGCTATTATGCTTTGTTTATTTAAGTGGGAATACCATTTTCATAAAGTTAAAATTTAAGTTTTGGCTTGCATTCCTTAGTATGTTCCTTTTTAAAAAATTCCATCACACCAACTCCACATTTTCCTAAGTGGGACAAGGTTTCACCTGAGCTTCAAGATTCATGTTAAAAAGAATTGAATTTTGACCTTTAAAAATGTTCTTTGACATTTACAAGTATTCGTCCCTCGGACGCTTGTGCCTAAACTGAAGAGCCCGGGAAGGGCCTCTAATCTCCTGGGAATGGCCAACACCAGGGACCCTACTGTGCGCGGGACTCGGTGCTGAGCCATCCCTTAGCATCTGTTGTGGCCCGCCTCACATTGTTTGTTAACTAGTAGAATTAGAAGATTATGTGATGTTGGAGTAAGAGGATTTATCTTGGTGACTTCCGTATACTGGTTCCATTGTAGGTGTAATTATGAAAAGCTAAGAATTCAGGAAAGAATCACCAGAGAAGGAATTAAAAACAAGATTTTATGTGAAAGCGCCCACCTCGATCCTGAAAGAAAACAAACCCACCGTAACAGCGGCCACTGAGCAGAGTCTCCAGCACAGAGACCCAAAGACAACTGCTGAAGTCACTGTGAACAAAATCAAGATGACCTACGTAAAACAGCGTATGTACCATAAGAAGGCTTTCAATCAAGTAAATAAAGTATGTGTAAGTTGTAAAAAAAAAAAAAAAAATGTTCTTTGACATTTTTTTTTTTTGGTTTGGCAAACTTTTGAAGTCAGTCTCAGAATTCTTTGAAGTAGCTACTGAACCTCGTTATTGTCACCCCACTGTGTCTGGTCCCTTCCTCCCTCTCTAGCTCACACTGGTCACCCTTCTGCCTCAGCAAGGTCATGAGAGGGACCCTGTCCCTGGGGCTGGTCTCCACCCACTTCATTCAATCTTACAAATACAGTATAGCAAAAGCATTCCACAGTTTGAGCAGTCAGTGCTCTAAACTACTCCAAAAATCATTAAGTCCTTATTTCCTTTTCTTTCCCCCCATTTTTTTTTGAATTTGACTTAAAAACATTTTTAATGCAATGATAGAAACTGTTAGGACTACAGGAAAGGTAAGGGGGAGGCAGGGAATAATTCCAACAGGAAACACTTGCTAGAGTCGTATTGAGGAATGATCTTTAATGATTTCTAGTGTTTTTAAATAATCAGATATATGCCTATATATTTTTTGCCATGTTGAACTTATTTGTAAAGGAAGTGTGTGCTAATGTGACGAACTGAAAGATTAACCAATTCAAAAATTAGGAAATTAAAGCCCACATCAGCACTTTGGTTTCCTTCTTTTCAGACCTACATTTAATACCTTTATTGTGTTTATCTGTATCGCAATTTGGTTCACATCCTGTGAATTGTATTAAATTTAGCCGGTGGCCGCGTGCATTAGTTAAGAAGGTAGTTTGTGCCAAGTTTGGAAGTTGAAGGGCCAATTTTTGAAGGCCAGATACTTAAAAAAAAAAAAAAAAAAAGGAATATAACTAAAGTAAGGAAAACTGACTTTGAAATGTTTTCCCCCTAAGTGAGTCAGTTACTTCTGAATCACGATTTCTTTTCAATGTCACACAGGACTTTTTTTGTCACCATTAAATGTCTAAATCGTAAACAGATCCTTGGACGGGGGGCTGCACCCCGCTTTCGAAAGGGACACCTTGTAGGGTGGTGGCATTTTAATGGTTTCCAACGCGTGCATTTTAGCTCATCCGTGGGAATCACCTTAAATAACTAGAAATTCCGAGCTGGTGTCTCCGACCAGTGCAGCCCGTTTTGAAAACGAAAATAATCGCGGGCCGTTTCGCTCATTTCCGCTGTTGTGGTTTTCGGGGCCCTCTCGGCGGAGCGG